GACCGCTTACAGTTGCGCCATTTTAATCTTAAACCAGCTCACCCTTAATTACATAAAAATTAAAGGCCATTTAATTTTTGTTTGTGCCTGTTAAATCTTAAAACAGCACCATTAATGAATTGCACCACAAATTGAATTGCACAATCATATTAAATTTGCTCTACATAAAGCAATTAAATACTTCTACATTGTAGCATATTTGTTTTCATAATTCATTTCATATTTGTTTAATCTTCAAAACCTCACCATTAATTGCATATAAATTGATGGACACTATTAAATAATTTTCGTCATTTATTAGCAATTAAATATTTCGAAATGGTTGCGTGTTTGTTTTTGTTGTGGTTGTGCCACTTTGAGGGAGCTAGATCTAGGCACTCAAAATGTCTACACAGTGAATCAGTTAGTGATATAATTCTCCTTCTCTGAGCGAGAGCTCGCTTAACTAGCTTTCGATTCACGGATCTAAATAAACATGAATCGCTGCACCAAGAGGCAAGATACAGCTATTTATTATAATAATTCGATTAAGTGCACTTACACCTGCGATAAATTCGTCCCTCATTACACTGGTAACATCAAATCTCGTTGAGGCAACGATCTCCATCGTCTGCTATCTACTTCCACGTGTCTGATCTTTGCAAACTTTCCAACCTATTTTTGTACCAATAAGTACACAAATAATACGTCGGATTTGCACTGCATTACCTTTTAACAACTATGCCTTCTTTATGACTGAAATAACCACTATTGAACTCGCATGCTAAGCCAAACCCGTGTACATATTGACAACTCAATATTATATTTCTTATTTTCCTTGCTCTTGAAACGTGCAGCCTCAAGGATTCTATTGTAATGGTTTCAAAAGTAGGAAGTAAGTTTGGGTTTTCAAAGTACGAATTTTATAGATGTGGGTATATAAAGAATTATAAATTGCTAATAAAGAGAAAACGTGTGTAGACACATTTGTTTTTCAATTAACAACCTTTTCTATAATGCGATTTTAATCTTTAAAAAGGTAGATAATTTTTCAAAACATTGGGTAAAAAGGAAAATAACGCCTAGGAACGTACGTTCACAGAGATGGTGTCTCAGTTGGACGAGTCGGTGGGCACTGTACTGGATGCCCTGCGGGAGACGGGCATGCTCAATAACTCCATCGTCGTGTTCATCTCGGACAATGGAGGCATGACGGCCGGCATGCACCATAACACGGGATCCAACTGGCCTTTTAGAGGTGTAAGTATTCACAAGATGTCGGTCGTGCGTAGTCAACTGGCAATTCAGACATACAGGAGGTCTCTAGAAAATCGCTCGTCGGTAGATTTCTGTCTCCTTTGGCGTGAGTTGTGCTCAGAAAAAAGTATTCATTTTATGTAATATATTATTTTATTTCATAAATAATATTTTGTACCGCCAATATTAGAAGTTTAATAATTGATGCAACAAAAACTTAACTCGTGAGCTTCATATTTCCATTAAAACATTAATATTGTTAAAACTGTTCATTTTTTGTTTTTTCTTAGAGGGTAAACTAATTGTCGTCGACAAAGTATCGTTTTCAATATTTTTGTTTTTTTGAAAATTTGAAATTTGAAAAAATGTATTAAATCAAGATTTGATTTTAAAAGGACAGATGATGTCCCTCTGAGTATTGTATTTTTATTTTTAAATACCTGGGCTGCCGAACACGTTCATTTACAATCGTGCTGAATGGACCTTCAACCAGTATAAAATTAATATACTAATGATTTCTCGTACGCAAAATTAATATTTAAAATGCATTCATACTAGTTATACTGTTACTATAAGTTACTTCTTGTTTCAGTGAGGCATCATTAATTCTCATTTCTTCTCCGAAACATTCGAAATTTTATTGTATACATTATACCTTTATAAACATTACAAATTAATGTAATCCTGCTTCATTCGTTTTGTCCGGTGAAATTAACTGCTGCTTTTGTCACGCAGAACGATTCATATTAATCGGTTGTAAGCATTCTAATTCAGCCCTTGACCTCGCACGCGCGTCGATAGTGTAACGTATTAGCCAGCGTGCCTCGTGGCATCTATTTGGGGACGCTTGGCAGAGGATTAGCC